AGCAAAGCCCAAACCACACCCACTGCCTGGAGTCCATTCTGACCCACAGCGCCCCTAGAGGACAGAGTGGATCTGCCCACAGGGTCTCCAAGGCTGTCAATGCTTACGGAATCCAACTGCCTCATCTTTATCCCGTGGACCAGCCGGTGGCAGTCTTTTGGTTAGCAGCTGAAAGCTTTAACTACTGCATCACCAGAGTGCCTTGTGTTGGTGTAAACCAAAACCAAACCACACTCACTGCCATGAAGTTGATTCCAACTCATAGAGACCCTTCCTTGGGTTTCCAAGGCGGTATCACTGTGGAAGTAGATTGTCCAGTCTTCCTTCCGAGGAGCGGCTGATGGATTTGAACTGCCAGCCTTCCGATTCGCAGTCAGATGCCTTAGGCACTACACCACCAGAGCTCCTTTTGTTGGTGTAGGGCGTGTCTAAATCCTAACTGTGTGTGAGTTGTAAAAAGCAGATCAGACAGGTGAGCACGTCCTGGCGACACAGATACCGCGGTGTGAGGACCACCAGGATCTAGGGAGTGTCCGGGCAACAGCAAGAGGGAGATTGATGTGGCTGAGCCTTGGATTCCAAGCCCTCTCCTCCACGGCTGTGAGAAAATGCTTGTCTGTTGTAAAAGCCCCCTGCGGTGGGATTTCTGTGAGGGCAGCACCGGAGGCTCAGACATCCGTGAGCAGCTTTCTCCCATGATCACCCTCGCCTGGTCAGCTCTGAGTTCTGCCGGCGATTCCCAGTGCTGCAGTCCCTTGGCGGCCCTCGGCAGCTCCTTGGCCCCACTCGGCCCCGTTTCTGTCCCCAGCTCTGCCAGGACGTCTGCGGGTCCACCTCCTCCGTTAACCTCTCTTTGTTTACGAACGTTAGCTGGCTCCTTGTCTCGAGCGAAGGATTGTCATGTCTCGTTTCTGTGTTGTGTCGAGCAGACGTGACGGTCACAAAGTGCCTCTCTCGTCTGTGAAGATGCCTCATGGTGGGAGTTCTCGAAGCAGAAGAGCAGCCGGCGGCTTCTCGGGTCAGGGGCTCGTCCCCGCCGTCTGTCCCCTCATCTGGAAAGGATTCCCACACCCCCGTAGAAGGGCCCTGCTGTGAGGTGAATTGTGTCTCGACAAAGATGTGTTCATGTCCTGACCCTCACACCTGTGGATGTGCCCTTGTTTGGGAACAGGGCCTTTGTAGATGTCAGTAAATCGAGGTCTTGTCGGACTAAGGTGGGGCCTGATCGTACAGTCTGGTGTCCTCGTAAGAAGAGAAGGCAGACACAGAGGAGACGGCCGTGTGAAGACTGAGGCAGAGAGGGGGTGGTGCCGCCACAAGCCTGGAAGTCCCTGGAGCCACCGGAAGCTGGAAGAGGCAAGGGGGGTGCTCTCCTCGAGCCTCCGGGCCAGCCCAGCGCGGCAACACCCTGATCTTGGACTTCTGTCAACAGATTGCCAGCCACTGGGCCTCCACTGCCGTGAGCCTCCTCACTGTGGACCTGGGACGTGGCAGCCCCAGGACACTTGCACACACCCAGGGCCAGGCCTGCATGTCCTCAGGAAGTACCCACAGAGCTACCTGGGGTCATGCTGGGGTCCTCACTGGGCCTCTTGTTCAGGCCACAGGCCCCTCCATGCCCAGGTTGGGGGTGGCCACTGCAGGGGGTGGGGAGGGCTGGAGCTCCACAGGGTGGGGACGGAGGCAGCCCCCGCCAGCACCCTCTTAAGCTTTCTCTCTTGTCCCCAGGAGACAGATACTGGGTGTTTAAGGACAATAACGTAGAGGAAGGATACCCGCGGCCCGTCTCCGACTTCAGCCTCCCGCCGGGCGGCATAGACGCCGCCTTCTCCTGGGCCCACAATGACAAGACTTATTTCTTTAAGGACCACCTGCACTGGCGCTATGATGACCACCTGCGGCGTATGGACCCCGGCTACCCTGCCCAGACTCCCCCGTGGAGGGGCGTCCCCGGCACGCTGGATGACGCCATGCGCTGGTCTGACGGTGAGTGCTGGGCCTGAGGGAGTCTGGCTGCGGTGCCATGGACCGTCCCGTGGGCCCCACAGCTCTGTGACCATGCCCACCCACCACCTCCCGCTCCCTGGCCTCCAGCCGCCTTTGGGCTCCCGCAAGCATGCCCGACCCCAGACCCCTGACCTGCTGTGTCTTGCCCCACACAGCCAGTGTCCTCTGTGCCACCCGCCCCAGAATGCCAGCTGTGAAGAGGCCATCCCGAGCGGGCCCTGGCTTCCCACACCCCTTCCCTGCGTGCTGGGCCTGCCCGACGGTGTGCACGTACACAGCCCAACAGGCTGGTGCCCTGAGGGCAGGAAGTCGCTGCTGCCTTTTGTTTCCAGTGCTGTGCTCCCCAGTATCCAGGACAGAGTGGTCAGCCCTTGGCCAGGTGCCTCCAGCCTGTGGGGACCCCACGTGGGCTCCGTGGGGTTTGCTTTCTGTAATCTCCACAGACGGTGACTGCCAGCGCTGTCACCACTGGGTGGGTTCAAATGGCCCACCTCCAGGTTAATAGCTGAATAGAGACCACCTGCCCTCCTTAGGAACCCAGTCGCCGTTGAGTCAGTTCGAGCCACAGCAACTCCTTGTGGGTCGGACTAGAGCCAGGCTCTGTGGGCTTCCCAGGCTGGGGTCTTTTAGACCACAGGGCCTTTCTTCCCAGGCACCTCTGGCTGACCTGAACCTCCAACCTTTTCGGTCAACAGCTGAGTGTGCAGACAGTCGTACACTCAGGAACAGCATAGGCGGCTCTCTTTACACACCTAGTAGGGAATGGAAGCCTAGTGGTCATTGCATCCATCCCCGGCATCCAGGCTCCTGGGAAGTCGGGGTGGCTGAGCGCCTGCCTCCCGCACTTGTCTTGCGGCCTGCAGCTTGCCAGCTCTGCCTGCTGTCTGGCTGGAACACCTCCCGCTGCAGGGCAGGCTCAGCTTTCCTTCTCTCTCTGCCTCTAGGTGCCTCCTACTTCTTCCGTGGCAAGGACTACTGGAAAGTGCTGGACAGTGAGCTGGAGGTGGCACCTGGGTACCCACAGTCCACGGCCCGGGACTGGCTGGTGTGTGGGGACCCGCGGGCCGGCAGCACGGAGGGCCCGGGCCCAGACCGTGAGGATGGGGCCCGTGCCCGGCCGGGCCAGCATGACCAGAGCCGTTCCGAGGACGGGTACGAGGTCTGCTCCTGCACCTCCCTTGCCTCCCAGCTGCCCAGGTTCCCAGGCACGTTGGTACGCGCGCTACTGCTGCTGCCGCCATCAGTCTTCCTGTGGACAGTGGCCCAGGCCCCATGACAGCCGGCCTGGCCTGAAGGAGGAAGAGAGGCAAGCCCAGGACACTGAGGGCCAGGAGATGGCCCCTTGCCCCGCCAGGGCCTGGAGGAGACGTTTCTCGACAGAAGCCCCCTGTGGGAAGCTAACCTTGCATATGGGAGTGGGTGGCTACCAGCCCGGGGTCTGGGCCCGCTGCAGCCTCCCGGGCTGGGAAGAGGCCAGCAGAGGGCACCGCTGCTCCGTCAGGCCCAATCCGGATGCTGGACGCTGCCTGTGATGTGGGCTGGGAGGGCAGGGAGCTGTCCGTTCGGGCAGTGACTGCATCACATGGACCTTGACCAACGCTCAAAGGCTTGTCTTCCCCGGGCCGAGGGACAGGGCTGGAGGCACGTAGAATCGGGCACGGCAGCTGGGGCTGGGATCCTCTCCTGGGCTGGGACTGCTGCCCCTGGCCCTCCCGCTGCCCACATTGGAGGCCTCCAGCCCCCAGCCCCCTGGTGGCTGCTGGTCACTGCCTCAGGGCAGCCCCTACACATACCGGCGAGCCCCAGGCTGGGCCACAGCCAGCTCGCCGTGTGACGCGTCTCAGACAAACATGGTCTCTTGCTTTGTAGAAGCTCAGGCCTCGGCTCCGTGGTTGCCCTCAGACAGAGTGGCCGGTGTCCGTCTCAGCGGCTCGGGCCCGGGAGCCCTGGGCTTCGGGTGGCGGGGTCTTCCAGCAGGGCTTGTGTCACCACCTCCCGTCCTGAGTCTCCTTGAATCCTCTGCCCTGCAGAGGCCTGGCACCCATTTTACAGATGGGAGAGTTGAGGGCAGAGCAGGAAACCGAGTCTCCTAGATGGAGCCCGGGGTTGAGCGAAGCCACTGCCTCCAACGTATTCTGAACACTTCGCCCTCACGCGCAGCCTTTTACTGAGCACTGCTGCGTGCAGGACACGGTTCCCGGGGGTCACTCGCCGTGCTGCCTGCCGACAGTGGGTGGCTGGACACCAGGCGGGGCGGCCATGTCCGGTCAAGCGGCTGCTGGCCCTCCCGCTGAGGGAGGCAGAGATGGGGGCTTTGTCGTCCCCTGGTGCGCTCTCTTCATCGCGAGACGGCTGCCCCCAGGAGCCCACTGCACCCCGCGCTGGCAGCCTGGGCGTGAGGCGCCCCCCTGCAACTGCCAGGCTGCTCCACCTTCATCTTTCCGGGATGCTTTGACTTTGGGGGCTGCCGCAGGCATCACGGGTGTCTGGCGTTCATTGGCCTCATTGTCATGGTAACAACCGTAAATGCCCCTGGAGGGAACCTCTGGCTAATCACATCCCCCTCAGGGCTGGGGAGCCTTCTAATACCTAGAACGAAAGTGGGGGTCAGGAAAAGCCAAAGCCAGTTGCCAGAGTCGACGATCCTCGATGACTCCGTGTGTGTCAGCAGGACGGGATCCCACAGGGTTTGCAACGAGGGCCGCACACCGCGGGGTCTGCAGTGGCTGTGCCCCTCAGGAAGGGAGTTGCCAGGCCGTTCTTCCGAAGCACCTCTGGGTGCAGTGGGACTTCCCAGTTCTCCAGGGAGCAGCCAGGCACATTAACTGTTTGCATCCCCCAGGGACGGGGTTCAGTGAGGAAGAGGAGGGTAGCTGGGGCTGAACAACGGGCAGTGAGGAAAGAAATGGGGGTGCGTTTCATGAGTGATGCAGAGTAAGGGAGGTGACCTGGGGCTGGGGCTGCTGGAGGCAGGGTTCCCGATCGGCCTGGGGCCAATGAGCTGTGGGGGCCGTGGGTCTTAGGTGCTGGCGTGTGCACTGGGGACAGCTGTGGAGTTTATATGAGTGTCCACCGCCCACCGCAGGGGGCTTCCTGGAGAGTGGGCATTGCCCAGAGGGAGAGGTGCAGAGGCAGGGTCAGGCCCTGCAGGCCACTGTGGGGTTGGGGACCTTCACTGGCTGTGGACAGTGTAGCCCCCCCGAGCTCCAGGGGAGGGCACACAGTTCCTGAGTCACAGGTGAGGAGGCCATCACCGCACACTTACCCTGATGCCCGGCTGGCGGGACAGGCCCAGAGCCCAGCCACACACCCACGGGGCCTGGCCGGCTGCCCGGGGCCTGGGCCCGCCACTGGGCAGGCAAGCACTGGGCCACGTCCTGTGCCTCCCCTCCCAAGCCACCTCCCGTGTCCATCTGCCCACCATCTGGTCCCTGGAAGAGGAGGGCAGCAGATGGGGCGGAGACAAGCCTCGTCCCGGCCGTCAGGGCCTCCCTGTGTCCCGCCTGTACTAACACGCTCCCTCTGCTGTCTCCCTTGGCTGCTGGAGGGGTTGTGGCCAGGCACAGGTGGGAGCCACCCTTCCAGGTCCCCCATTGGTGGTTACTGTTTTAAAACCAAAATTCTCTTTTACAATGATTTTGTACCAGCTTTATCTTGTGTGAAGAGGGACATAACTACAGCGGCAGGCATGGTGTTTATGTTACTGTCCACTGCCCACCGCAGCCCAGCCCGTCCACACACTGGGTCTGCGTGTGTCACGTGGACAGAGGAGCAGTGCCAAGCAGCTGGAGGGGATGTGCCACCAGGACTGCAAACCCAGCTTCTCAGGACCGGAAGCCACCCACCGAGATGTTGTCCAAACCAACAGGCTCATTGTATACGTGTATATTTGTTAAATTTTGGAAATCATCTCATATTTACCAAAAAAAAAAAAAAAATCATGAGTACCAAAACCAAACCCACTGCCGCCGAGTTGATTTCACCTCGGGCCCTAGAGGGTTTCTAAGACTGTAATCTTGGAAGCAGACTGCCACATCTCTCTCCTGCAGAGCAGCTGGTGGGTTCAAACCACCGACCTTTTGGTTAGCAGCCACGTGTTTAACCACTGCGCCACCAGGACTCCTTCCTGAACCTTCTGTGTATTTCCTCCCAACAAGGATGGTTTCCCAAGGAAATACCGAGACCACCTGAGACTCGGGGGCAGTATTCATCCAGACAGCATCCTTTTCAGCAAGAGGTCCGGAGTGGCCCAGCACATTCCACTGTCCTGTCCAAGTTGACCTTGACCTTGACCTCAGCACTGTTGGTGGGCTGGTTTTGTTGAGAACCTCCTCCATGTGTGTGCCTGATGTGAGTGCCTCTGGCAAGATGGTACTTGCAAGATGAGCACACAGTCTGGGGGTTCATTTCTGTGTGTCCCGTTTTAATCTGTGACAGTGGTGGCAAAGGTTTGGGTTTTCAGGTGAAGCTGTTATTTCCACCTGGACTGTGCTGGCTCCAGGTCCCCAAGGGGCGTAGTTTGTGCTCTACACAGTCATTAGCAAAGAACTGGCCAATGGTCAACCAAATTCAGAGATAACGCATGATCAAGAACCAGTGGTATTGAAGGAAGATGTCTGAGCTACACAGAAGGCGCTAGTGAAAAGCCAGCCTCCAGGGATTGACGGAGTGTCCACTGAGATGTTTCAGTAAACAGATGCAGCACTAGACATGCCCAATCAGCTATGCCAAGAAACTCGGAAGACAGCTACCTGACAAACAGACCAGAAGAGATCCGTATTGGTGCCCATTCCCAGGAAAGGTGACCCAACAGAATGCAGAAATTATCGAACAATATCAATGCCACACCCAAGTTATATTTTCCTGAAGATAATTCAAAAACTTCTGCAGCAATATAGCAACAGGGAACCTCCAGAAACGTAAACCAGTTCGAAGGAGGATGCGGACGAGTGTCATTGCTGAGGTCAGATGGATCGCGGCTGAAAGCAGAGAACACCACAAAGATGTCTACCTGTGTTTCATTGACAGGCATTCGACTTTGTGGATCATGAATTATGGGTTCATTGAGAAGAATGAGAATTCCAGAGCGTTTAATTGTGTTCATGAAGAACCTGTACATAGACCAAGAGGCTGTCATTCAAACAGAACAAGGAGGTACTGCATGGTTTAAAATCAAGAAGGGAATGTGTCAAGGTTGTATTCATTCTCTCACCATACTTACTCGATCTCTCTGCTGAGCAGATAATCCAAGAAGCTGGACTATATGAAGAATGCGGCATCAGGATTGGAGGAAGACTCATTAACAACCTGCGATATGCAGAAGAGTGAGGATGACGAAGTACTTATTGATGAAGATTGAAGACTAAAATCAGCAGTATGGATTATACCTCAACATAAGAAAACAACAATCCTCACAACTGGACCAATAGGCAGCATCACAACAAATGCAGAAAAGACTGCAGTTGTCAAGGATTTCATTTTACTTGGATCCACAATCAGCACCCATGGAAGCAGCGGTCAGGAAATCAAACAACATACTGCACTGGGCAAATCTGCTGCAAAAGACCTCTTTAAAGTAAGTGTTCAGGGACAGAGAGGTCACTTTGAGGACACCTGACCCAAGCCATGGTGTTTTCAGTCACTTGTGCATGTGAAAGCAGGGTGGCAGCGAATAAGGAAGACCAAAGAAGAATTGATGCCTTTGAGTTAGGGTGTTGGTGAAGAACATGAAACGTGCCACAGAGCACCGCAAGAATGAACACACCTGCCTGGGAGGAAGTGCAGCAGGCTGAGTGCTTGGCATCGAGGATGGCCAGACTGCATCGCTCACGCTTTGGTCATGTTGTCAGAAGAGACCCATCCCTGGAGACGGACATCGTGTTTGGTAAAGTTGAGGGTCAGTGAAAAACAGGAAGACCCTCGACAAGACGGAGTGACACCGTGCTTACAACGATGGCTCCAGCATGGCAGTGACTGTGAGGCTGGCACGGGACCGAGCACTGTTCCGCTTTGAACACAGTCGAGATGTGTCAGAACCTACTCCAGTACACCTGGCCACAATCCATGTCTCAGGAGCTCCGGTGGTGCAGTGGCTAACACACTCGGTTACTAACCAAAAGGTGGGTGGTTCAAACCCACCGTTCTGCAGAGAAAGATGTGTCCATCTGCTTCCATAGAGATTGACCGGTTTGGAAACCCTGTGGGGCAGTTCTCCTCTGTCCTCTAGGGGCGCTGTGGGTCGGGACCCACTGGAAGGCAGCAGGTTTGTTTTTTGTT